GTCACAGAGTGTACACAGTGACTCAGAGTGCTTTGCTCCCATTGTTTCCCACACTGGCTCTGGCCTGCCGTTCTGGCATGTTCCATCAGAAAAAAAGCCCTGAGCTTACATAATTGCATAGACAATACAAGAGAGCAGGCGAGAGACTGGGACAGAGCATTGTCACCATGCCTGGACAAGGACTTTTATGGCAGGATCGCCAGGTATTATTTTAATGAATGCTGCATATTTAAAAACTCAATAATAAAAGGAATGCGCTAATCATAAATAAAGTGTCAAATAATTCCAAACAAAAAATATAAAAATATACTAAATAATAATCCAAAGATAAATAATGTCCACAAATCTTGTATAAACATCCATAAAGTGATAAACAATGTTGCAATCTTGTATAAACAATAAACACTGTGAAGAAAATCCACCACCGAATGAATTAAATAAACTCACCAGAGCGATATGCTGATCAAATTATAAATCAGCATAATCGCTAATGGGAGTGATGATCTGTTTGAGGTATCCAAAAGTATGGGAGCAATACTCTGCAATCAGCCAACACACATGGATGAAGAAACGTTGATATCAAATGGACCTCCTCTCTCTCTCCATACTAAGGCAATGCTCGGGGAATTGAAAAGAAATATATTAATGCAGTACATTCTTTAAAACATAAGCTTTATTAAATGCCAAATATAAACTCACAAAAGAAGTGTCTAAGCCGACATCAGCAATAACCGCCGCCTCTGTCAATACTAAGGACGAGCCTTGCTCACCGCGGTAGCCCAGCCGACAGTCTCGAGGAACGTCCTGACGTCACATCCATTAAGCCCTGCCCTACACGTTTCGTCATTTGACGTCCTCACAGAGCGGAAAGTGAGGACGTCTAATGATGAAAAGCGTAGGGCGGGGCTTAATGGATGTGACGTCAGGACGTTCCACGAGACTGTCTGCTGGGCTACCGCGGTGAGTGAGGCTTGTTCGTGGTACATTTTTAAATTAGCGTTTTGCCGCGTCTAGCGGCGTTCTTCCGCATTTGCATTTTTTAGCGGTTTTAGCAGGTTTTTTTTACCCCCCAAAAAATCAAAAAATGCCAGTTTGCTGCATTTTTCAGCGTTAGAACGTTTTTACAGCTAAAAAACTCCTCTAGAAACGCACTAGTCCTGGGGGGGGGGGGGTTTCGGCCAAAAAACATTGATTACAGTCTATGTGTGCATGGACACAGAGGATAACATGCTGGGGGGGGGGGGGGTTTACTGGCTGTAGAAAAAAAAACATTAAAAGTCAAAAACAGCAGCTGGAAAGGACATGAGGACTCAAGCATATTAGGACAGAGCCCAAGCATGAGGAGACAATTTTTGTTTTTATTTTCTGGAATTGTGACAGATGAAAAACCTAATTCTTAAACACAAGGCATATGTAAAACTGCAATTTATGTGAAGTTAATGTGTGCTTCCAAACTCAGTAAGTGTTTAATAAGTAATGCTTGAGTTACCCTGTCACTAACCTATTAACTAAACTTCATCTAATCACTTTGTGAAAGAGACTCCTATTATCTGGATTACAAAGAAACTGCTGCTTAGTATCAAAATAATACCAAAAACAATATACTTTGCAGCATGACTCCAAACCCACAGCAGCATATATTACAACCACGTATCACAGAAAAAATGTCCAATACCCAGGTTTGAAATGTGAAATGATTTGAAAAGGTTTAATTCATACTGTGGATTTACTTGTGTGTAGGTGCATTCATTTACTGCATCCAGGAGCAGATTAGATACTCTGAACACAACTAAATGTGTGTAAATACAAACATACAAGTACATCTAGGCTCTGTGCACACTAGCGTTTTTTTAAGAAGCTGTTATCAGCATATTTTTCTGCTCCTAGAAGATAAATAGTGTTATCCAATGTGTCCATGCACACTACTTTAGGCTATTGGCATTTTTTGAGATTCAGCTTTTTTCTAGCTTTTTTTTTTTCCTCTACATGTACTGTAAAAATGCTAATAAAACACTAACGCTCTTAAATGCTTCTGAACAGTACTAAAATGACACTTAAAACACTATTACCAGCATTTTCTGTCTAGTGTTTTTTGGGCTTAAAAAAATGCTAGTGTGCATTGAGCCTAAAACGCAGGACAATTTGATCTGGGATGTATAAAGTTTGTTTATAACTCCGGAATAATGTCTTCTGCCTGTAGGTTTGGTTCACACTCTAGAAACGCAGTCCAGATGGATTCTGGATGCGTTTCTGCATGTGCGCTTTTGATGCATTTGTGGTGCGTTCCAGTGCGGTTTTGATGCTCTTTTGACAGGTTCGGGTGTGTTTTTGATGCGTTCCAATTAATTTTTCCCCCTTTGTTTCTTCAATTTAAATAGGGACACGTGCGTTCCAGTGCAATTTTGGTTTGTTCCGGTGCGTTTTTCATGCATTTTACTGCGTTCCAGTACAGTTCTGTGCAGGAAAAATGCAGCCTGTTCTGCTTTTTTTCTGCATCTGAAATGCACTGGAACTGCAAGCAGTGATGTGAACTATGACATTGACAACCATATAACTCTCCTAGATTGTAAGCTCCAAAGAGCAGGGTCCTCCTAACCCTCTTGTATTGAACTGTATTGTTGCTGTATTGTCTCCCATTATATTGTAAAGCGCTGAGCAAACTGTTGGCGCTATATAAATCCTGTATAATAATATAACCTACTTTCTGTGCGTTTTGGATGCAGAAAAAAAGCACACTGAAACGCATGCAGTGTGAACTGGTCCTTAGGCTAGGGTCACATTACTGCATGTTGGAAACGTGAACAGAATTCTTAATGGAACCCCCACGCATCAAAAATTGCTCACACTTTTTCATCCACAAAATCACATGGTGCCATGCGTTTGGTGCGACACAATTTTAAACAGAGAGTCATGGACTTCTTTCCCCACATTTCTGTGGGTAGGGCAGCCCATTGAAATGAATGGATTGCCCTATGTGCAGCACACAGCCGCATAGGTATGAACCAAGCATTAAGTAAACCAGACACAGCAGGCTCATTTACACCCGTGAATAGGGACACCAGTGGATTCCTGCAACAAAAATCTGCCGATTTTTTGTGGCTGAAATCAGAGATGTAGGCAAACACCTGCAACCAGAAAGCCTGTACAAAGCAAGGACAGGTTGTCAGAAGCCGCGTACGTCTGCATATATCCACACAGCCATCTGTTAGCTGTGGTTAGGGACAGATGACCGGCCCTGGATGCTGTCTGTCTGTGGTGGGCAGCTTCTGTAAGCCTGTCATTGCTTTGTACCACATTCCCACCCATAGCTGCAAGCCACCTGTGATTCCAGCCACAGATATTCGCTGTCTGGTCCTAGTCGCAGGTGTGTACAAGCCCTAAGGCTACCAGAATGCTGGCCATATGATGTCATTCCTAATAATAACATTGGTGAATGTCCATTTACATCACGATTCTGCTTGGGATCCCAAATTGCGTAGCAATCTCTGCGCAATGTGCACATGGGTGCCTTTATCCCTTAATGGTACTCAAAATGTGATGCGATTCTGCCCCCATTGTCACCCTGCAATCACAAAAAACCACACCCTTCAAAATGGCGTGAAGCTTGTTTCTCAAAAAGGAGCAGGAGCTTATTTTTCGACAAATGCACATAGGGCAGCCCATTCAAGTAAATGGGCTGCCCTATGCGACATGCAAAATCACGTCACAATTGCCTGTCAGAATCGCGTAGTGGGAACAAGCGTGAATGCAGCCTAAAGTATAACAAATGCAAACCTTTTTTTTTTTTTTTAGATGATGTAAACATGGATTTCATGGCTGTCAGGCCTCAGTAAGGGAAATTCACCTTTTTTGTCCTGTTTACCAGTATCACAGATGGCCTAGATTGTAAGCTCCAAGGAGCAGGGCCCTCAAATCCCTCTTGTATTGAACTGTATTGTTGCCGTATTGTCTCTCATTATATTGTAAAGCACTGAGCAAACTGTTGGCATTATATAAATCCTGTATATAATAATAATAATAATAAAGTGAATGAAAATCCTAAATTTTGGGCTTTCACCAGAACAGGAATAGAATAGAATAATCTTTTATTATCTCATGCGATAACTTATGCAAATGAGTCACGTGACCGTGTTATTGCATGCAGTAACCTTTAGAGTTCGTTTACACTTGACTTTATTTCTAACTTTTGCCAAACGCCCTAATAGCATTAGACAGGCGTTTGGGAAGCATTTTTAACGCCCCTCAAATGCCCTATGTGCGGTTTTGAGGCGTCTGATGGGTGTTTGTCAAGCGTTAAAAAACCGCACCACAAACGCCTATAATGAAGTTAAATGGTATTAACGCTCCACAAACACCTCGCAACCCCTTCGCAAACGCCTGCCAGGCGTTTGAGGAGCAGCACCATAGACTTGAATGGGAGGCTTCAACTCATCCTGACTCCACATGACACGTCGGTTTTGCCACGACGCAACACTATGGCTTCAGTGTGAACAGCACTGTGTGCTGCCATGTGCAGAATTTTCATAGGCGTTTGAGAAGAGTTAAAAATGCTTCCCAAACACCTGCTGACAAAGTTAGTGTCAACGGAGCCTTAGTGAATTGTTATTGCTAACATTGGTTCCAGGCAAGCTACACAATAACGGTCCCCTCTCACTGAATGTTCACTATAGTGTGCCTTAATCATGAAACTGTTCACATTTCTAGGAGAAAACCAATAAAAATGAGGAGCAGGAAATCATAAAGCGCAGACACACTGACTATTCAGTGTTTTTTTTTACATGTTTTAGTAAGAAAATACATCCGTTACCGTGTTTGCCAGTTTTAAAGATGGCTGCTCTCAATCAAAGGTACCATGTAGCAGGGCAGCAAATCACAAGCTTCATAAAAGTCACGTGGTGGCAATGACGTGCGATGTGCGCCGGGCATGGAGTGAGCCGCATTGTACCTGGTGTAGTGGTTGTTGTGCCATGTCTGAGGCTGAAGTGTCGCCTTGTGCTGCCATGGCACAGCCGGGGAGGGCAGTGTCCCTCCCTCAGAAGCGCTATTACAGGCAGAGAGCTCATTCTAACCCCATGGCCGATCACACCTTCCAGTAGTGAGTGGCACTTGGCACCTTTCCTTTACCACGATAGCAGGGCAAGGAGATCCCTTAGATCGGTTCTGCTGCAGAAAGACTAGGATGCCTGGAAAGGCAGGGAGAGGAGAGGACGTGCTGGAACCTGTAGTGCACCAGTCATTGTAATGGGCACCTTAGGCCAAATAAGGAGTTTATTTCTCATTCTGTGCCTAATACTATGGGGGTGGGGGCAACCTGATCAAGGTCCTGATTTTTCTATTTTTTCAGCATAATCTTTTATGCAGTTTAATGAGCTCAGATCAAGTCCTCCAGAGAGTAGACAGGATGACATTGCCATTTTATCCTGCATTCATCAACTAACCAATGAACATGGTCACTGGTGGTGGATCGGGCACTGTCAAGGGATGTTTGGTGAATGTCACATTTATTTGGTTTGTAAATAGGAACCTCAAAACTATGCTTTGCTTGTGTTTTTTGCAGCCCAGTGAAACCTGAGCAGATGGACTGGTCAGAATATTACCCTGAATATTTTAAGTCTTTATCATCTGATACCCGGCACGATGATGTAAAGGACATGGCAGAGAGGAAGGAAGAGCTTCAGGTGGAGTTTGCGGATGTTGGCTGTGGATATGGTGGATTATTAGGTATAGTGATACAGTTATACAAGCACATGGGTGTTATATGATATTCTGTGTATATGATTTATCACAGGGCTGAAAATTTCGAGTCTAGAACTGCTAGCCAGGTACAACCCTTACTTTTCACCAGTTGCCCCACCCAACCTTGCCCAGGTCCGCCTCCAACCCCACCCCTGGCCTGTCCCCCAACTTTGCCCCCAACCACGCGCCCTTAAAGCTTATGAAATTACACTTTTTTTTTAGAATAAAGAGTCCAAAATATAAAAAACTGCAATTATAACATAGCTTTATTATGTCAATTTAAACATAACAGCAACAGCTTAATAGCAATAGGGTGCAATCAAAATATCAAGTTTTACAGCTTTAAACCTGTAGTAAACATTTTGTATTTTTTTTTGTTTATCTCCTGTATCTTTAAAAAGAGACTTTAGTAACTAAAGTCTTTTAAAAGATGTAAGTTTAGTTTACAGAATTATATATAATATATAACATGTTTCTTTTATATCCTTGTATATAACTATATATTAGGTATGATATTATGTCTCTTTTATATATAATATTTTTCTTTTATATCCTTCTATATAATTAGATATTAGGTATATTATTATGGTTCTTTTTATATATAATTATATATAAAAGAGACATAATAATATGTCTCATGTCCCCCCCGCAGCGGGGGAGAGCAGACCTCTCCGAAAGTCCCCCCCTCTGCGGTGGAGAGTGGGTATCTCCTCTCAGCGGAGGAGAGCGGACCTCTCCTGCACCTGTCCCCTCAGCGGCGCTGCCAGTGTAATGGCAGTGCCAAAGAAGAAGTCAGAAACTGGAACTCGGCTTCACAATGGAGCTTGGAGTGCAGGTGGAGCCGCTTCATCTGTGCTCGCCACACAAGGATTTCCCCTCCAATTTGGCCCTGATTTATCATATGCTAAAAAAAAATAATTCATTCCAATGTATAAAGCCTATGTGTGCGCAAGGTAACACTTCCAAGGAACAAATTACCGTATATACTCGAGTATAAGCCAAGTTTTTCAGCACATTTTTTGTGCTGAAAAACGGCCCCCTCGGCTTATACTCGAGTCAACGTCAAGAGGGGCGTGTACAGGGGTGGGCAGAGGGCTGCTGTCTCTTACCTGGCTCCCACGATGATCCATCCAGGAAGCGCTGCTCCTTCCATCACTCCGGCCACTCCCTCACTCCTGCCGCTTGGCTCCGCCTCCTCACCGGTGATTGGCCGCCAGAACTGTACACAGGCGGCCAATCATGGGCGAGGAGGCGGAGCCTATCGGACCCGCGAAAATCGAGTGAGGGAAAAGCCGGTAAGTGTGCAGTGCAGAGGTGCTGCTGCAACCACATATGCTGGCTGCAGCAGCACCATACTGCAACAGGGGTCAGCAAGTGTCATTGGTGTCAGCCGCACCATACTGCATTATTCCTCCCACTGACACCAACGATGGGTCTATTCCAAGTGTCATTGGTGTCAGTGGGAGGAATAGTGACCGGGGCATCTATTCCTCCCACTGACACCAATGTGGGGCACTATACTAATGATGGGGCATTATTCCTCCCACTGACACCAATGATGGGGCACTATTCCTCCACAGTGATGACACCAATGATGGGGCACTATTCCTCCCACTGACACCAATGATGGGGCACTATTCCTCCCACTGACACCAATGATGGGGCACTATTCCTCCCACTGACACCAATGGGGCACACCCTCCCAATGATGGGGCACTATTCCTCCCACTGACACCAATGATGGGGCACTATTCCTCCCACTGACACCAATGATGGGGCACTATTCCTCCACTGACCCCACACTATTCCTCCCACTGACACCAATGATGGGGCACTATTCCTCCCACTGACACCAATGATGGGGCACTATTCCTCCCACTGACACCAATGATGGGGCACTATTCCTCCCACTGACACCAATGATGGGGCACTATTCCTCCCACTGACACCAATGATGGGGCACTATTCCTCCCACTGACACCAATGATGGGGCACTATTCCTCCCACTGATACTAATGATGGGGCTTATACTCGAGTGAAAAGGACAGTTGAAAGATTATAAAACAAACCTTGAAAAGTGTTCATGCACACAGGACGTTAAAAAAACTCCCCTAGAAGTTGTCCTCTGGCAGCAGCGTTTTTTTGCAGAAAATACCTCTGATGCTGGTAACAGTATCTAACGCTTTTACAAGTGTTTTAGGCACGTTTACAATTGTCAGGCGCTTGGGCGTTAATTCATTTAATTGGCCAGAATGATAATTTATTCTAGCCATTGAAATGAATTAGTGCTCGAGCGCTAACCGCAACTAACGTTTAGGCTCGTTTAGCCGCATCAAGAGTTTTTTTTTTTCCCTGCCAAAATGCTGCTGCTCATGGACGCAGCGGTCCTAGGTTTTTTTTCCTGTTGTTAAATGCTACTGTTACTAAAAGTCTATGTGTGCATGGACACATAGGATAACATAGATGGCTGTTTAGAAGCAGTAAAAAATAATTAAAAACCACCCGATGCCCCTAAAAGTGGCTGCAAAAATGCCCTGTGTGCGCATGAGGCATAAATGTGAGGTCTGCATGTTTAATAGCCTTCTATCTTGAATAAGAAAACATTTAGTTATGCCACTCTTGCCTAGGTGAGGATGTCACTGGACCTTCTTTCAGGATCCAGGGAGAGCTGAAGATCCAAAATCCCCATGATTGTGCTTCATCATAGTGCTGAAGTATCGTCTGGTGAGATTTGGGGTTTTTAGCCCAAAAATTTAGGGAATATGGTAAATATTTTTAAAAATTTTCTTCAATTTGTTTTAGGAGGTGGGGGCACTAACAAATAAGTGGACTGCCATTTTATTTACCTGGTATATCTCTGGGATAATCTCTTAGTGACTTGAAGCTGAGTTCCAGCTGCCCCACCAAAAAAATTAAAAGTCAGCAGCTACAAATACTGTAGCTGCTTATTTTTAATATTAGATCACTTGCCAGTCCAGGGATCCAGCGATGCCCTCACCCTGAGCCGATTCTTGGGTGCCTTGTGGCTTCACAACCGGTCTCCTACTGTTCATGCGTATACTGCACTTTGTGAATGGGCCACAGTCCTCTGGGACCTGTGAATTGGCCCAGAGGGCTGGGGGGGGGGGGGGGGGGGGGCGGTGTGAACTGCTAGCTCAGTTTGCTGCGGAAGTGGAAGCTTTTCAAAACCAGGCATTCGCTCCCCCCAAAAGGTGCCAAATGCAGCAGAGTGAGGGGGTGAGGAGGTAGATAAGTGGAGCTTCCACTTTTGGGTGGAACCCCACTTTACCTAAAAAGTTTCATCATGCAGTAATATGTGTAGCCTGTCCTATGTCCCAGATACACCAGACAGGAAGATTTCTGTGAAACATGCATCACTTTTTCCTTTACCAGAGAAGAGCTTTGAAGATGTAACCTGAACAACCAGACTGAAATCTTGTTTCATGATTTAAAGGTGAAGTTCATACATATATATAAAAAAAAATTTTTTTTTTAATATTTTTTTTTTGCACAGGAGCCTGCAAAGCATTCCACTCATTAGTGGAATGCGGTACAATGTCAGGATCCAGCAAACTTCCTCCAGCTCTCTGCCTTTACCTCTGTATGCTGTATGAGCTGTTAGTTGGAAAGCTGGAGGAAGTGTCAATAGATTGAGTGTGCCGATTAGCACACCTGTATTTCATTGAGAACTACAAATCTGTCTGCTGTGGTGGCCCCGCACAGCCATGCTGGTTTTAGATTTGACAGCTGTGGTGGAGGGTTTCTTAGCAAAAAGTTATGCAGGCCATAGATGGGTCGAAAAACCGGCCGTTTTTTTAACAAAAAAAACGAAAAATCGGTCATTCAATAGGCCGATGTTACCACCAACAGTAAAAAAAAATCGGCCGATTTTCGGCCGTCTACGGTCGGCATTTAATTACTTCGGTGCCCTGCAGAGAGCTCCGCTCTTATATTTGACATTATAGCGGTTACAACATTGTATCTATTTGTATCCATTTCGGATACAGATGTTTTTATTCGGATACAAATAGATACATTGCTGCAACCGCAATACTTTTTCATGTCAAATATAATAGCGGACTGGAATTCTTCTTCTTTTTGTTCTTTTTCTTGCAGGTCACGGCTCATGCGCAGACTTTTTATCGGTAAAAAGATCGGCCGATTTGCCCATCACTGCTGCGAAAATCGGCCAATCGGCAAAATCGGCCAATTTTTTTCCAACTTTACCGATCAAAAAATGTGCCAAAATCCAGAAAAACGGCCGACCAATTAACCCATTAACAGTGAGAAAATCGGCCGATTTTTTTTTTTTTTTTTTTTTTTTTGGCTGAAAAATCTGCTGATTTTTGACCCATCCATGGCCTGCAGGTGGAGTTATGCAGCCCATAGAGAGCTCCGCTATTATATTTGACATTAAAAAGTATAGCGGTTGCAACATTGTTCCTCCTCCTCCTCCCCCCCCCCTTGTGATAACAATAAAAGTGATTAAAAAAATTAAAGGGACAGTGTAAAAAATTTAAAAAGTAGTAAAATAAAACATTTTTTTTTTAAAGCGCAAATTACCCCCCCACCTCTCCTCCATCCATGCTTGCATGCAAAGGTGAACACATGTAGGTTGCACGTGCATATATAAGTGGTGTTCACACCACACATGTGAGATATTGTGGCGAACATTATAGCGAGAACAATAATTCTAGCACCAGACCTCCTGTGTAACGCTAAACTGGTAACATGTAAAGGCTTTTAAAGTGTCTCCTATGGAGATTTTTAAGTAAGTTTGTTGCCATTCTGCAAGTGTGCACTGTTTTAAAATGTGACATGTTGGGTATCTACTGGGGTATAACATCATCTCTTATTTTTTTACCAAACAATTGGGTATTATATTGTGCTTTTGTGCATTAAATTTAAATGCATTAAAAAAAAATAATAATAATTACATAACATAAAAAACTGCAACAACCACCAGTTTATTCTCAAGGACCTTTGCTTAAAAAATATATAATGTTTGAGGGTTCAGATTTTTAATTATAAACAAAGTGTCAGAATTTGCCTGGTCTTAAAGATTAAATTAAATGTGTCCATAAATCATCCTTCTATATTCTTCAACCTCCTGAAAATGTGCCAAACTTCAACGTCATGTATGTCCACCACCTGAGTATAATTCAGTCACCAGAAGTATGTGATCTTACTACTGTTTCAGGTCTCTTGTGCCTTTAGTGGGGTATCAACCCACAATTAGTTTGGTTCTTCCCCTGATTTACTGCTGTAACATCAATATCACATTGTACCCAGACAGCATGTAAAAAAAAAAAAAAAAAAAGATATGCAGTGTTCCAAATAGTGTTATACCATTAAAAACATATTTTATATAAAATCATAAACAAAAACACCACTAAATTCACTCACATGTAATGGTGCAGCGGTCTGCATCGGTATGACAAGTGTGATTTGATTCAGCCACTGTGCTGTTGCAAACAAATGTATCACAGTTGAATCAATCGTCTCTCCACCCACCCAGTACCTGTCAGAATGGCAAGAGTAATAACAAAGGCATGCATGTATATTTGCAGCCAAAAAGTGCATTTATTATTATAATATATATAATATATACAGTATCTCACAGAAGTGAGTACACCCCTCACATTTTTGTAAATATTTTATTATATCTTTTCATGTGACAACACTGAAGAAATGACACTTTGCTACAATGTAAAGTAGTGAGCGTACAGCTTGTATAACAGTGTAAATTTGCTGTCCCCTCAAAATAACTCAACACACAGCCATTAATGTCTAAACTGCTGGCAACAAAAGTGAGTACACCCCTAAGTGAAGATGTCCAAATTGGGCCCAATTAGCCATTTTCCCTCCCCGGTGTCATGTGACTCTTTAGTGTTACAAGGTCTCAGGTGTGAATGGGAAGCAGGTGTGTTAAATTCGGTGTTATCACTCTCTCTCACGTTCTCATACTGGTCACTGGACTTTCAACATGACCCCTCATGGCAAAGAACTCTCTGAGGATCTGAAAAAAAGAATTGTTGCTCTACATAAAGATGGTCTAGGCTATAAGAAGATTGCCAAGACCCTGAAACTGAGCTGCAGCATGGTGGCCAAGACCATACAGTGGTTTAACAGGACAGGTTCTACTCAGAACAGGCCTTGCCATGGTCAACCAAAGAAGTTGAGTGCATGTGCTCAGCATCATATATCCAGAGGTTGTTTTTGGGAAATAGACATATGAGTGCTGCCAGCATTGCTGCAGAGGTTCGAGGTGTGGGGGGTCAGCCTGTCAGTTCCCAGACCATACTCCGCACACTGCATCAAATTGGTCTGCATGGCTGTTGTCCCAGAAGGAAACCTCTCTAAAGATGATGCACCAGAAAGCCGGAAACAGTTTGCTGAAGACAAGCAGTCTAAGGACATGGATTACTGGAACCATATCCTGTGGTCTGATGAGACCAAGATAAACTTATTTGGTACAGATGGTGTCAAGCGTGTGTGGCAGCAACCAGGTGAAGGGTACAAAGATAAGTATGTCTTGCCTACAGTCAAGCATGGTGATGGGAGTGTCATGGTCTGGGGCTGCATGAGTGCTGCTGGCACTGGGGAGCTACAGTTCATTGAGGGAACCATGAATGCCAACATGTACTGTGACATACTGAAGCAGAGCATAATCCCCTCCCTTCGGAGACTGAGCCGCAGGGCAGTGTTCCAACATAATGACCCCAAACACACCTCCAAGATGACCACTGCCTTGCTAAAGAAGCTGAGGGGTAAAGGTGATGGACTGGCTAGGCATGTCTCCAGACATAAACCCTATTGAGCATCTGTGGGGCATCCTCAACAGAAGGTGGAGGAGCGCAAGGTCTCTAACATCCACCAGCTCCGTGATGTCGTCATGGAGGAGTGGAAGAGGACTGCAGTGGCAACCTGTGAAGCTCTGGTGAACTCCATGCCCAAGAGGGTTAAGGCAGTGCTGGAAAATAATGGTGGCCACACAAAATATTGACACTTTGGGCCCAATTTGGAAATTTTCACTTAGGGGTGTACTTACTTTTGTTGCCAGCAGTTTAGACATTAATGGCTGTGTGTGGAGTTATTTTGAGGGGACAACAAATTTACACTGTTATACAAGCTGTACACTCACTACTTTTGTAGCAAAGTGTCATTACTTCAGTGTTGTCACACCACATGAAAATATATAATATATTACAAAATAATATTTACAAAAATGTGAGGGGTGTACTCACTTCTGTGAGATACTGTGTGTAATATATATATATAATATATATATATATATATATATATATATATATATATATATATATATATATATAAATATATATTTTTTTTTTTTTTTTTTTTATAAACATATGAAACTGCAAAGTATTGCAGCCACAATCAGTAGATTGAGAGTGTATTGCTAGGCTTCAGCAGACTCTTCCTCCAGTTCTTTGTCTGTACCAAGGTGCATACAGTGTTACAGAACTGAAGGAAGTGCCCGTGGACTATGAGTGCACTGATTCCTTCACCCGTGTTCCATTGAGAAGACCATCTGCTGCGGTGGCAGACAGGACTTTGTTCTTTCAGAGATCTCTGCAAAAGAATGATGTGAGTTTGCAGGCTGAGGGCAGCATTTGGTTATGGGGTCCCGTTTGCACTATGTATGGGTGTAACATGGTCCAAAAGGTTGAGTCTGCTTTTAAGCCTACTGCATTTCATGCTCATAGAAAGTTTGCAGTGTTGATATTAGGAGAATGCTGGGGCATCTTAGGTGATTATAGTAGAGAACTAGCAAAAACAAGTAATCTGTGTTTTGCAGACCTTGTGCAGCCTGACCTGTCTTTTCCCTATGACGATGGCATGCAGTTTTTAGCACATTGCCATGCAGTGTCTTTGGGCACAGTACGACCCTTTTATTTATGGTCAACTTGCGTTTGTGGTTGTACCCGTCTGAGGAGTCTGCATTTTTATATTTTTCCTCCCTTTAACATATGTTTAATAAACGAGTTTCTATTTTGGTAGTCCTTGTACTAATATATTAATTTTGATGCCAGAAAGGTCTCCAGTATGTACTAATGGTTTATGGATTATTAGTTGGAATGTGGGTCAGGATATTTGGACCATCACCAACACTGTTCACAATCTATAAGAAAGAAAGGTTATTTTAATAATTGTATGTTTCCGTGTAGTGCATTTACTAATAAATATGTGTAATTGCACTTGTAGTGGAACTGTCTCCGTTATTTCCAAATAAACTCATGCTTGGACTGGAGATACGTGTCAAGGTGTCCGACTATGTGCAAGACAGAATCAAGTCACTGAGAGCAAGTAATCCGGGTCACTACCAGAATATTGCCTGCATCAGAAGCAATGCTATGAAATACCTACCTAACTTCTTCAAAAAAGGACAGGTATCTAATATACAACATGAGCCTTTGGTGTTTTTTTTTTTTTTTTTTAAAGTTTAATTCTTGGCCACATGAGTGCTATATAATCCATAGAAAGACATATTAACCTTAAAGTGAGTCTGTACTGTCAGACACAGAAAGTTTGATACTTGGAGAGTTTTAGCAATCTGGAATTAGTTTGCTGACTTTATGTAGAAAAGCACCCAGCTTGTTCACCCATGGTCTCCAACATGTATCAGCCAACCTGCAGTAGGTGACAGACCTGTCTTCATCCATCTGCTAATCTCTGGGTAGCTTGGGTCTGGCATAAAGTAAACTCGTGAGAATGAAATCTCTAACGTTATAAAATGATAATATAAAGAGAAATAGAACTCTGCAACATGTGTCCCAAGAAAACAGCCAAAGGACTAGTTACCAGTATTGCTTTTGGTCTCCCTGCAGCTGATCTTTCCTCTTTTTGATTTATGCCTTGTTCTGCTCTGTCTGTATGTGGCAGGGTTTTATCTTCATCGTTTGAGAGCCTCTAGGAAGAGAAAAGTGAGCAGCACAGCAGTGACAACTCTAAATTTCCTGAGACTAGCAGTCAGAGACAGCAGACAAATGGTACAATTATGGGGTTCTACTTTGTTCTATACAACATAGCAAATCTTCACGGTTTGAGTTCAGTTCCACTTTTTTTAGATATGCTCTTGGGACTGAGAGCTCCAAAGTCGTGGAGAAGCTGTATTATGCAAATCTTGACTTTAGCAAAGAAAGTCATGCTTAAGCCTACACCTCATTGTTGGGCAGCAAAGCCACCAATCACTCTTGAGGACTAACAGCCAGGTGTGGGAGGGTGTGGAATAGAGCTAGACTCTCTTATATTATCTAAAGATATGGAGAGGCACCCGTAGGGGGTCTGTATTAAGTCATTTTAACAGCTTTTTTTATGATAACATTTAATTTATTTAAACATGTCATTTGTACCTTTACTGTCTGGAAGCAAGCTTCCAAGACCCAGGGAATTACATTTTTGGTGCATCCTTTTTTTTTTTTTAACTTGTTTATATGGCTATAATGTATGTAAATATTTTCTTTTGTTGTAGCTGAGTAAGATGTTCTTCCTGTTTCCTGATCCTCACTTTAAGAAGACAAAGCATAAATGGAGGATTATTAGCTCCACGCTGCTAGCAGAATACGCATATATACTGCGAGTTGGGGTGAGTGAATTTGCATACGGCAGCATGTTTAAAGACTAGGTTTTTAGTCGTCTTTGTTACCTTCATCGGAGTCAATCTTGCCCAAAGGAACGGTTTCCTTTACAAAGGGATGTGGCTGCTGTAATTCATATGGCAGTGTCTGCTGCCAGAAAAAAATTGAGTTGGGCTGAATGCTTACCACCCACTTAGTCTTATAATGTTTTTTTTTTTTTTTTTTTAAAGAAAAACACATACAGGTGGTGTAATCTCAAAAAGTGGGTACAAAGCCAACAGTGCAAGAATAACCTTTACATACAATCATATCATGCCCTGCATTAGAATCTGCTCCAATCATATTTATCGTAATAAACGTTATGGCATACAGAGAGATATTCAAATAAAGGGCAGATAAAAGGGAGCATTCACTAGACCCACAAAACTAAATGAGACCACCCCAGACATACTAAATAATAATCGGAGTAGTTTTTGCCCAAAATGGGGCTATCTCCCCAAAAAAATATAGGTGAGGACAAAAAAGAGGGAAGAGAGAAAAAAAAGGGGGGAAAGACACAACCCAAAATAAAAAGGGAAAGAGAAATGCACAGGAAGAGAAAGTAGCAAGGGAAAATGCGGAAGAATGAAGGGAACTGTGTTATATCTGAGTGACAGTGTGATAGAGGTCTAGTCTCAAATATCCACAGTGGGCCAGTGGGTTAAAGTGGAGCAGAATGGTTAGTGACCTTAGGCGTCCATGAGGTCTCTACACTTGAGGGAACATGTTAACAAAACCATTAAAAATTCAAGGCTTCCTCTTATTGGTTGGGGGGGAGATTGTGACATTATTCATTTGCCTCTCCACCTCTGCTAATCAGAGGATGCCCTGTATTCATTGCTAAAAATATAAGGCTTTCTCCGAATGGCTGAGAAGCATTCAGCCCAACTTGCATTTGTTCCAGCAGCAGAAAGGAAGTCTCTCAAGATGCTACTGGAGCACAATAATGCATACTGTATGTAGCTGATGCTGTCCTGGAAGATGAGTTGGGAAAACAGTTACCTGGTAACTCAGTTTCCAGGAATTTTTTTAGGACAGCAGGGATTCCTTCCTTATATATTGTTTTTTATTGTGTCATTATGTTGTTCCATCAGTTACTTTTGGTTCTTGCTTAATACTGAAGAGACTAGGTGACTATGTACTTTTTTTTTGATTGTGGATATGTTTCCTGTTGGTGGTTAGCTGAGCCTCTCCTTCTCATGTGCTGTCTTTTTTTTTTTTTGTAAATAACTCACAAATGGACACAAATTTGAAAAAAAAAATAGCATTTTGGTTATTTTATACTTCTGATAACTCCTGATACTTCTGAAAACTATAACATTAAAAATATATATATTTGTTTAATATTTTAATTTTTGTGATGCTTTGATTCTTTGTCTGTGCATCCATTGTTATTTTGCAGGCTGGAGAAGTATGTTTATTAACAAACTTCTCCAGCCTGCGTGTGAATACCATGTTTGGTTGTTATGGATCATATGATCAAGAGCCATGCTGACCGGTTCTTGTCAGTGACAGGGTAGTTTAAAAACTAGGAGTGTGCAAAAGTGTATGCTCATAGTTCAGTTTTGCAATGTAAATCAATGTTCTTATGTCACAGGAAACTGTGTCTAAGAATGTTGATTTATAGATTTTGGGAGTCTGGACTTCAAGGTAAATCATCAGACCATTGACAGTAGAGTTTATTAACGCCAAAATCATCGGGACTACGATGACAGCTATTTCCAGCACAACCCCATTGAACAGACATGGCGCAATCATATGTTTACTATGCTGTCAGTTCACACCACAGTGTTGCTGTGGTGTGTGCTGAAAAAAGTACCACATGCAATACTTTTTTCAGTGCAAGTGGTTGCAATGCGAACCTCCGCAACTACAATGCAGCTGAACTTGAACTAGACTAGAACTTGAGACATTTCAGTAAAGTTTTGTGAGGAGTAAACAGTGTGATGCACTGGGATTATTACACCAGTGTCTGTGTATTCAGCACAGCTCACTGGTGAGAACAAGTCCTTAAAAGAAGATTTATTTCCTAAAACAAGACACCGTAATGTGCCTGCTACTATATTAGTCAGAAAAACTCTGCTTTAGATTTTTTACTGTGTTTTTACACTTTACTGTTGGGGTCTAACTTCTGGGCTAAGCCCTATCTTACAACAATCCTCTACCAGTAATAGCATGTTGGTAATCATTTGGACAGTGTGAGCGTTTAACTCATTAGGAAAATGAAGCAATGAATCTTCTGTTTATCTTTCAAAGCTTTGGTAATATTGTGCCATAGTGTAATAATAGTGACAAATATACTTTGCAGGGGTTGGTATATACAATCACAGATGTAGAAGAAGTTCATGAATGGATGGTGAAACACTTCACAGAGCATCCACTGTTTGAGCGGGTCTCAAAAGAACAATTGGTAAGATGTTTAACTTTGACCTGAAAATAGACTATTTTATTGGATGTTTGCTTTTTTAACTCTGAGCCTCAAATGTTGTGTCCATAGGCAGACGACATCATCATAGACAAATTGGGTACATCTACAGAAGAAGGAAAGAAAGTTCAGCGTAATAAAGGACAAAACTTCCTGGCTGTATTTCAGCGGGTAGAAAACAGGACATTCAGAAATAAAGAAATGTAATTTTTACATGCGTTAGCTGGATATGTGTCAAAACATCAATCTGCAATTATTTGGCAGCATTCGATAAGAAGGCAGATCTCTAAAGACATTCTAAAGTGAAGAGTCTGGGATTTGGCATCAATGTTAGGCATTATTCATCTTCTGGGAACCGAGTTGTTGTACATCATTCTCTCTGAAGCTGTGAAGCATTCGTTTTTGTTCTTGAGCAGCTAAGGTCTGTTTAATGATTAAGTGGTAGGAATAAGGCAAAATGAGAAGTTCCAGAAAAGGAATTATGAAATGCTACTGGGCAGAATGGCTTTTGTGTACGAGAGTATGATTTATCTGGTTGTTTCTTTTTATGTTTTACTATACAGTGTTCTAGATATACTTGACAGGAGAATCCAAGCTTACCAGACTTAAGCTTTTTTTTTTTTTTTTTTTTTTTTATACTGTTTTTAACTTTTGGTAGGTTTGTTAAGTTAGATATTGGCAGGGAAGATTTTCTCTAAGGTAGAGTCCCACTGACACCCAGAATATTTTAATTTTAATATAATATTTTGAGCCAAACATCACTTCTGGAAAGCTGAACTCCAGTTAAATATGGAAAATGTACAATGCATGTAGTTTGTTTATTAGAAAGTTATTAAATGTTTTTTAACCACTTGCCCTCCAGAGGAATTACCCTCCTTCCTGACCAGGCCATTTTTATGCGTTACGGCTCTGCGTTACTTTAACTGACAATTGCGTGGTCGTGCAACACTGCACCCAAATTAAAATTACATCCTTTTTTTCCCCACGAATAGAGCTTTCTTTTGGTGGTATTTGATTGCAATTTTGAGAAAAAAAAAACAATATTTTTGACGTTTTGCTATTAAACATGTCCAGTAAAAAAATTTTTTTTTCATAAATTTAGGCCAAAATGTATTATGCGACATGTCCTTGCTAAAAAAAAAATCCCAATCCCAAAATTGATTGGTTTGCGTAAAAGTTATAGCATTTTACAAATGGTGCTATATATACTGGCATTTTTTTTTTTTCATTTTTACTAGTAATGGCGGCGATCAGCGAATTATAGTGGGACTGTGTCGGACATTCTGACACTGGGGGGGAACTGACTTGATGTCATTGACATTCCAGTGCTAGCACTTACACTGTACTAATGGCACTGGGCAGAAAGAGGGTTAATGTGTGGGGCGATCAAAGGATTAATTGTGTGCTGTGTTAGTGTTTTCAACTGTAAGCACACTGCTTTGTATGGCTCTGCTATGCTATGCAGATGCTCAGCAGCAGGCGGCTTCCAGGGAGGTAGGGGACTTGCGGACGCTCAGCAGCAGGCAGCTTCCAGGGACAAAGCGGTCAGCAGGCAGGATGGCTTCCCAGGGGCCCAGCAATCAGCAGACAGGGCGGCTTCCCAGGGCCCCCCAGCGATCGGCAGACAGGACGGCTTCCCAGGGGCCAACGATCAGCAGACAAGACGGCTTCCCAGGGGCCCAATGATCAGCAGACAGGGCGGCTACCCAGGGACGATCAGCCGATAGCGACACAGCGGGCTTCTGCAGGTAGGGACACGGCAGGGGCTCGGCAGAGTCTTGGTGGTGTGGGGTCTGTGCTTGGGATGGTTCTGACATTTGGGGAAGGCTCATGCAGAGCGCTCAGCGGGGATGGCTGCGGAGGCCCGGTGCCCACCCGGACCTCCCCTGACAGCGAGGGCCCCAGGGACAGTAGCGGGAGGAAGAGCTGTGGGGTCTGACCTTTGAGGAGGGGGGCTCACGCAGAGCGCCCAGCGGGCATGGCTGGGGAGGCCCGGACCTCCCACAACAGCAGTGGCGGTGGGCCGAACGAGAGTGGCCAGACAGCGCAGGAGGAAGAGATCGACCGGCTCTCGCGCCGGCCTTTTAAAGCTTCCCGGATGCTTCCTGGTTGCAACGGTCGGCGCAGAGCTGCGTTGCCGGGGCAACGAAGCACGCCCCCTTGACTCGGGCCGCGCTGAGGGAGCGCGGCCCTTTGTCTCCGGTGGGCGCAGAGCGCGGGCACAAGGCCGTGCCTGCCGGGGGCGCGGAGACACCTTGGAGGCCTGCCGCTCGGGTCTCTTTGCGGGGGGTCCCCTCCCCCATCCTGCACAGCCTAGCTTCTGAGGCTGTGTAGGATGAGGACGTGGCAAGGGGGGAGAGGGTGAAGGCACACCGTGACAGTTATGTATTTGGCTAGAGTTCTGCTTTAACCACAAGCCTACAGGGCACTTATACCCCCTTCCTGCCCAGGCCAATTTCCAGCTTTCAGTGCTGTCACACTTTGAATGACAATTGCGCGGTCATGCAACACTGTACCCATATGAAATTTTTAGCATTTATTTGAGACAGATAGAGCTTTCTTTTGGTGGTATTTAATCACCTCTGGGATTTTTATTTTGAAAAAAAAAAGTTTTTTCTTAGTTTCTGTTATACAATTTTGTAAATAAGTGATTTTTCTCCTTCACTGATGTGCGCTAATGAGGCTGCAGTGATGATGGGCACTGATAGGCTGCACTGATGAGGAGGCACTGGTAGGTTGCACTGATGGGCATTGACAAGCATCACTGATGGGCACTGAAAGGCAGCACTGATACATGACACTGATACGTGGCACTGATGGGCGGCTCTGACTGGCACTAATGCGCACTGATAGGCGACACTGGCACTGATAGGTGGCACTGATTGGCATTGATAGGTGGCACTGGTGGGTGACATTGAAAGGCAGCTCAGATGGGCACTGATATGTGGCATTGATGTGCACTGGTATGCACTGATATGTGGCACTGATGGGCACTAGCACGTGGCACTGATGGGCACTGGCACGTGGCACTGATAAGCACTGACAGGTGGCACTTCAAGGTCCTGGAGTGGCCTAGCCAGTCTCCAGATCTCAACCCCATAGAGGAAGTTGAAAGTCTGTGTTGCCCAGCGATAGCCCCAAAACATCACTGCAATAGAGGAGATCTGCATGGAGGAATGGGCCAACATACCAGCAACAGTGTGTGCCAACCTTGTGAAGACTTACAGGAAACGTTTGACCTCTGTCATTGCCAACAAAGGATATATAACAAAGTATTGAGATGAACTTTTGATATTGACCAAATACTTATTTTCCACCATAATTTACAAATAAATTCTTTCCAAATCAGCCAATGTGATTGTCTGGATTTTTTTTTTCTCATTTTGTCTCTCATAGTTGAGGTCTACCTATGATCCCAATTACAGGCCTCTCTCATCTTTTTAAGTGGGAGAACTTGCACAATTGGTGACTGACTAAATACTTTTTTGCCCCACTGTAGCTTGCACTTGGCATTCCAGTTTATCCCAGAATTGTTTAATAGGGTTAAAGTCAATGCTGTGCAGGACATTGCAGTTTGTCCACATCAAACTCATGAAGGCATGTCTGTGTCCTGTGTATTTCAGAGGAGCAGTCATGCTGGAACAGAAAAGAGCTTGTCTCAACTGTTGACACAAAGCTGGAAACTCACAGTTGTATAAAATGTCTTTTTTTTTTTCTGTGCTGTAGCAGTATAGCAGAACTGAGTTCACAAAGTGATGGTTTGCTGTGTATGGGGGGGCGGATTTTGAAATTGTAATTGTACCCTGAAAAATGTACCTTGTTTAGAATTTCTCCTGGAAAATAGCAGTGCACTTTCTGGTATGTTATGGTACCTAGGCATTGTTGTGCCTACAGCCCGATAGCGGTTTGTCTTGCATTGTGAGATCTAAGGCAATGCTGCCTCTGACTGCTAGTCTTGGGATTTGGGGTAAAATGTGGTGATGTCGCTATTGTGCGTCTCACTCTTCTTCTTGCTGGAGGCTCTGAAAGGAGGAAGCAAAAGCTCTGCAGAACAAGGCTTGGTAAGTCGGTAATGGGGTGGGATCAGTTGCAGGGAGCCAACAGGCAACACTGGTGATTAGTCCTTTGCTTGCCTTTTTTGGGCACAGCTTACATAGTTCAGTGCCATTTTTAATAGTGGCCATCACAGGAAATTTCGGAACTCATTTGGAGGGGTGTCTACATACGTTCGGCCACATAGTGTAGGTGTGATGGTGTATTCTGACACATGTCTTTGCTAAACAAAATCCCAATAAGTGTATATTAATTGTACTGATGGGCTGCATGTTTGAATCAAACATGGGCCGTTCGTGTGTTTGTTCTTTTTTCAAGGCACTGTATGTCCACGGTATTGACTACTTAGTGTATTTGTCTAGAGTGCAGCTATAACTCTAAATCAAAACTTTATACCCGTACCCCTACCCAAGTTATCACACTATTATATGCTCGCTCAAAGAAAACTATTATATCTGAATGACCTGGCATTGCTTTCTTTTTTTTTTTTTCTTTCTCTCTTGCTTTGCCAACTCTTGGTCTTTCTAAAATGGAGCATGGCAGGGCTGCGTCTGTTGCCGTAGGTGGGGAGTTTTAAACAGTGATAATTTTTACTCAGTATGAGAAATCTCTCATTACTGGTATATGAAACATTTGAACAAAATTAACACTTTTTAGCATTTTAGTTCCAGGGTACTATAGCCTAGCATGCTGTTCAGAAGTCCAAGAATGGAATCTTGCATCTGCGGTACAGTGATTCCAAAGACCACCTATGGGGTTACTTTTCTTTCTATTATCCTCTAACAGGTTTGCTTATGGAATATACAAAAGTATTAGAGTTAATGTTTTCCTATATACTGTAGTTTGACTATAAATAACCAGAAAATCAGTTGGCATATATTGTAACTTGAATTTATGTATAAAGTCTGTCACTTTTATATTTTTCTTCTTCTTTTTTTTTTTTTTTTTTTTTTTTTATATCTCATTTTTAATATGAGCATTTCAAGATATGGTTTGTTAGATTCATTTTGAGTTATGAATTATAAGTAATTATTTTTATCAGTTGTATTTTGTTATTTTACTGTGTGTGTGTATTATATTGTAAAATATATTATACCCCACACAATAAAATGTTTCAAATTACTTAAATATTGACAGTAGAGATATTTATATTT